TTCAGGCTTTTAAAAGTGTAGGATCTCACACCCTGCAGAGCCTTGATTAATTCACATACATATGGTAAAATCCTTTTCACATTCTTATGCCATTCACACTACCCCTTCTGTCATCTGACCTCTGTTGGGGTACCAGCTTCAAAAGATGTAACCCCGTTTGACCTCTATGCAATCAAATTAACCCCTTTTGACATTGACAATACCCTCTCTGCCAGGCCGGCAGGTTCTTAATGCACTACAAAAATTACATTAAAGGACAATATTCCATAGTGTAATAATAAATTATGCACCGTTGCATGACCCCCCCTGCCCTCCCCTGTGTGTGCTCACCTTCTAGCCCAGTCAGCTTGGGAGCTCATTTGGGCCTTCAGGCAGAAGATGGAGCGTAAAACGAAGGACCGGGCTTCACAAGAGGGTCGGAGTCTAACACCGCAATGCGCCTTTATTCACAGAGCGCCTGGGCGCTGTGTACCTCGTGGATCCCAGGATCGGCTATGCATATTTGTGCTCAGCAATGTCTCACGAGTAAAAGAGTACCCTCCTGTGAAGGTTTTAAGGAGTTTTGGAAAGTTATAGAGTAAAATATAGGGTTTTCCCATTTATGTTTGCCAGATTGATTAGGTAACCTATGCTGCCTTTAAGACTATATTGCAGCCCAGGAATGGGAATTACCCCCATCATGGCATACCATTCAAAAGTAGACAACCCAGGGTATTCAGAATTGGGTAAGTCTGGTCTTTTGTAGTAGCAACTTAGTCACAAACCCTAGCCAAAGTTAGTTTTCATATTTTTTTTTTTCATTTTTCACACATAAATTGTGTTTTACTGATCATCTTCATATTTGTTTTTAATGAAGTCTCACAAGTATAACAGTACCCCATATGTACAAGTTTCTGAAAGTTACAAGGTCAAATATAAGGCAGCTTTCTCACATTGAAATTTGCCAGATTGGTTATGTTGCCTTTGAGAGCATATGGTAGCCCAGGAATGAGAATTTACCTGCATTATGACATACCACTTGCAAAAGAAGACAACCCAAGCTATTGCAAATGGGGTATTTTCAGTCTTTTTTTAGTAGCCACAAACACTGGCCAAAGTTAGCATTCATAATAGTTTTTTGCATTTTTAACACACAAACAAATATAGATGATAACTTTGGCCAGTGTTTGTAACTAAGTGGCTACTAAAAAAGGACATACCCCATATTGAATACCCTGGGTCAGAGGCGGCTCTAGACTTTTTGAGGCCTTAGGCGAAAATCAAATATGAGGCCCCCCCCCCCGCGCGCTAAAAGTTAAAAATAAAGTAGGCGATATTAAAATTAACTGTATAAATTTCATATTTTAAGGCAAACATTAATAAACCTCATAATCTCAGTATTCACAAACTTATTTTTGTTATTAAATTAAAAATAAGTCAACAGTGTGTTAACCCCTTAAGGACACATAACATGTCATGATTCCCTTTTATTCCAGAAGTTTGGTCCTTAAGGGGTTAAAAGAACACTACAGTATCAGGAACACAAATGTGTATTCCTGACCCTATCGTGTTAAACTATTTAGCCCCCCTCCCCCCAATGTAGTAAAAATGTTCCTAATTTCTAGAGCTGCACAAGTCCGCCATAGGAAAGCATCGGATTGGCTGAGATCTTCAATTTTGAAGGAGTCAAGTCAGGCGCGGCTGCCATGGTTAATTAGCATCTCCTAATAGAGCGTGCAGGTGCTGAACGTCAGTGCAGCACTAACCCAGAAAGTACCTGTACTGGCAGACTAAGGAGTGGCCATTAGAGGTGCTCCTAGGTTGTAATGTAAACACTGCCATTTCTTTGAAAAGGCAGTGTTAACATGAAAATGCCTGCAGGGATGGACAATATTCACCAGAAATAAATCACTTTACAACATTTTCTTGCACAAAACATATTTAATGTGCCATGTTAATTTTGCTATAATCATGTAAAAACATGAAAAAAAATAGCAGTTTACTCATTAGTGCATGGACAATGATGGGCACAAAGTACAATATTTTTCAAGTAATACCAAATAAAGAACTGTTTCTTATTTTTAACAAGAACAAACAATAAAAAAATATTAAAACACAAAACAAAATCATGTTTTTTTTCATAAACATGTAAAAAAATGAAATAAATAGCACAATTTACTCAACAGTGCATGGAGAATGATTGGTACAAAGTACAATATTTTTCAAGTAATATCAAATAAATAACTTGGCTTCTTGTTTTCAACAATAACAAACAATTACTTAAATATTAAAACACAAAATGTTTTTATATTTTTTTTTGAACATGAAAAAAAACCTGAAAAATAGCACAGCATACTCAACAGTGCATGGACAATGACAGGTACAAAGGACAAATATTTTCTGAGTAATGCCAAATAAATAATGTGGCTTCTTGTTTTTAACAAGAATAAACAATAACTTACAGTTGCAAGAAAAAGTATGTGAACCCTTTGGAAGGATATGGATTTCTGCACAAATTGGTCATAAAATGTGATCTGATCATCATCTAAGTCACAACAATAGACAATCACATTCTGCTTAAACTAACACACAAAGAATTAAATGTTGCCATGTTTTTATTGAGAATACAAGGAAAGGGCTGCGCTTAGATAAAATATAAACACATATATAAAGTCCAGATAAAATAAATGGGTAAAAAAGGGAGAAGGTCTTATCTGGCAATGTCCGTAGTGCTTAGTCCGAAACAATAATCTTGCTTTCTGTCTTCCTTGTGAACCGTCTCGTATGCAAGAGATAAAAACAAATACAGGACCACAATGGTGTAGTATATCTTGATGTAAAAGAAATAAAATATAAAACTTGATTGCAAACTCACATATCCAAGAGCTAGAACCTGCTCTGGTATAGAAGGCGTACAGCGGTTTAGATCCCCGCTTATGGGATATGGAATGGTTATCCTTCACTTGCTTCCTCCTTCCGTAGTGTAAGAGATACTCAAATAAAAAGAGACAGCCAATAGTGTTCTCTGCATAAAACTTAAAATAAAATATAAAATGAAAAAGTGGATACTCACAAGACAGGAGCAGGTCAACTGCTCCTGATATTTCGCGTTGGTGGAATAATCCCCACCTAGGATTGCTTGGAGTCCAGCAAATAATGCCAGGTAATAATAATGATTATATGTGTATTAAAAGATAAGTGGTACAATAAAAGATTATCAAATATACTTTAATTGTAACATTACACAATATAAAAAACCATAAACGCGTTTCGCCAATCGGCGTTATCAATATGGGTAAAGACCATGTTTTTATTGAACACACCATGTAAACATTCACAGTGCAGGTGGAAAAAGTATGTGAACCCTTGGATTTAATAACTGGTTGAACCTCCTTTGGCAGCAATAACTTCAACCAAACATTTCCTGTAGTTGCAGACGTGCACAACGGTCAGGAGTAATTCTTGACCATTTCTCTTTACAGAACGGTTTAAGTTCAGCAATATTCTTGGGATGTCTGGTGTGAATCGCTTTCTTGAGCTTCTCAATTGGGTTGAGGTCAGGACTCTGACTGGGCCACTTCAGAAGGCGTATTTTCTTCTGTTTAAGCCATTCTGTTGTTTGATTTACTTCTGTGCTTTGGGTCATTGTCCGGTTGCAACACCCATCTTCTGTTGAGCTTCAGCTGGAAGACAGATGGCCTTAAGTTCTCCTGCAAAATGTCTTGATAAACTTGGGAAATCTTTTTTCCTTCAATGATAGCAATCCGTCCAGGCCCTGACGCAGCAAAGCAGCCCCAAACCATGATTCCCCCACCACCATACTTCACAGTTGGGATGAGGTTTTGATGTTGGTGTACTGTGCCCTTTTTTCGCCACACATAGTGTTGTGTGTTTCTTCCAAACAACTCAACTTTGGTTTAATTTGTCCACAGAATATTTTGCCAGTACTGCTGTGGAACATCTAGGTGCTCTTGTGCAAACTGTAAACGTGCAGCAATGTTTTGTTTGGACATCAGTGGCTTCCTCTGTGGTATCCTCCCATGAAATCCATTGTTGTTTAGTGTTTTACGTATTGTAGATTCGCTAACAGGGATGTTAGCATTTGCCAGTTACTTTTGTAAGTCTTTAGCTGACACTCTAGGATTCTTCTTCACCTCATTGAGCAGTCTGTGCTGTGCTTTTGTAGTCATCTTTACAGGACGGCCACTTCTAGCGAGAGTAGCAGCACTGCTGAACTTTCTCCATTTATAGACAGTTTGTCTTACCGTGGACTGATGAACAGCAAGGCTTTTGGAGATACTTTTATAACCCTTTCCTGCTTTATGTAAGTCAACAATTCTTAATTGTAGGTCTTCTGAGAGCTCTTTTGTGAGAGGCATCATTCACATCAGGCATTGCTTCTTGTGAAAAGCAAACCCAGAACTGGTGTGTGTTTTTTATAGGGCAGGGCAGCTTTAACCAACACCTCCCCTTAGATGATGATCAGATCACATTTTATGACCAATTTGTGCAGAAATCCATATCATTCCAAAGGGTTCACATACTTTTTCTTGCAACTGTAAATATTAAAACACAAAAGGCAATCACATTTTTTTTTATGAACTTGTAAAAAAACTGAAAAAAAATAGTACAGTTTACTCAATAGTGCAAGGAAAATAATGGGTACAAAGTACTAATATTTTTTTTTTCAAGTAATACCAAATAAATAACTGTTGTTTTTAACAAGAGTAGACAATAACTTAAATATTATAATACAAAACCTGAGTTTCATCCAATTTGCTAAACTTTGGTCACCCTGGATGGGCTATCAACCTCACTAAATCCTTCACACCAGACATCTGCTGCCCAGCCAGCATTTCCAATCACATTGAATGAATTCTCTCAATTAAGTCATATTGATGATTAATTCTCTGAAATGTGCCCCCTCTGCACAGTAACACAACAAAAGCAAGGAAATAACAGAGGAAAACCGAATACCGAGCCTTAATAAAATGAAAATCACAATATAATAAAAGTGAGCTTTAAAACATTCTCCTACATTTTGAATGTGTAAATTCATCTATCACAGATGAATAATCTAATTTTGAAGCCAGATTGTGTTCAATTGACAAAATTGCCAATGCAGATAATCTCTCTTGGCTCATAGATGATCTGAGGTATGTTTTTATTAATTTAAGTTTAGAAAAGCTCCTTTCGGCTGATGCTACAGTGACTGGAATTGTTAAGATGACCCTTAATGCGACATAAATGTTTGGGTAAACGTCAGTTAAGTTATTATCAATGAGGTGTTTCAGAGAGTTGCACATATCCAATTTTGGAGGCATAGTACGGGTGCACATTCGTAGCTCTTCGTACAATTCCAAACCCCTTATGTCAGCATCAAGAGAATTTGGTAAAGTTAGAAGTGCTTCAAGTTCTTTACAATTTTCTAAAAGTTCTTCATCAGGTTTCATAGATAAAGATGAAATATCATATAGGAAACCAAAATTGCTGACGTAGTCTTTTAAACCTTTAAATCGAGGCTCGGCCCTAGCTTGAATCTTATCAACAATAATGTTGAAATATTCTGCTCTGAACCTGTCTGCAGGGTTAACCAACGCTTCATCTGGGCCCTCATAGTCGAACATTCTTTTGGTCCTGCGTATCCTGCACTGTCGAAATTCTCTTACAATGTTCATTTCTTCTGCAATTTCGTTTGCAGCAACTATGGCAGAATTGTAGCCATTTTGTCTGTAGTCTTCCAACCAGCACATGAATTCTTCCAAATGTTTTAATGCAGTATCCAACTGCATATTAGACTTTTGCCATACCTTGCTGACCAGGTTTATTTTCACCAAAATCTCATACCACACAACTAAAGATAAAACAAACTCGTATGACAAAATTTCTACTTGTAGTGAATTACATTCACTACAGAATGCAGGATCATTACTTTTCTGTGTCACTTCTTCCAGGCATTCAGCAATTTCTTGTAGCTGGTAACGGACAGCCTTTACACTCTCAACTCTGCATTCCCATCTAGTTTCAGACAATGGTTTAAGGCTGATATTTACCTTCTCCTTTAAAACAGACCATCTATTGGATGACCTGGAAAAAAGTGTGTACAACCTTTGCAAAACACCAAAAAATAATTTTGCTTTTGAACAAGATGCTGCTGCATCACCAAGCACCAAATTCCAACTGTGACAACCACAGGGTGTAAAGAAGGCTAAAGGATTGATATTTAATATTCTGGTTTTAACACCACTTTTCTCTCCCCGCATGTTAGCGCCGTTATCATATCCTTGCCCTCTGCAGTTTTTGATGTCCAAACCTAACTCATCAATTTCAAACAGTATGGTTTTTGTTAATTCTTCAGCTGTACTTTTTTCAACTGGTATAAATCCAATGAAATGCTCTTCAATATCGCCTGACACTTCATCAACATGGCGCAATATCACTGTCATCTGTTCAATGTGACTAATATCGGTCGTACAATCAAGAATGATTGAGTAATATTTTGCTTGAAGAATCTTTTGAATAATTGTCTGCTTGACGTGCTTGGCCATCAAGGCAATTAATTAATTTTGTATGTTTTTTCCCAAGTAATGGTTGTGAATACGTTTGTCTTCTATTCGCTGTAAATGTTCACGGAGACCAGGATCAAACTTTGCAGAATGTTTTATCAGATCTATAAAATTGCCACTTTTCTCTTCTTCTAAAGTGTCTCTGTGACCTCTAAATGGTAGGTTGTGAGATGCTAAAAACTGAACTGTGGCTAGGAGTCTTTCTAGAATTTCACGCCAACGTTGCTTTTCCAGCAGAATTTGCTTCTGAACTGATGCATCAATACTTTTACCACATCGGAATCTCTTCTCAGCTTCCATCCATGTAATAATGTTCTGTAAATGGTCAGAACTGTTTTCGTGAAGATGAAGTCGATTGCTCAAGTTCTTCCAGTCACTGCAGCCATCAGACACTAAAGCTTTCCGTGTTGATGCAAATAAACGACAGGCAAAACAAAAAACACAGTCCTTGTGTCTAGAATAAACTAACCAATGCCTATCTTGTGTCTCCTTGTTGCTTAGAATCCTTGTGTAATAAAAGGTAGAAAAATGCCGTTTTGTACTGTCTAATGGGAAAGTTAAAATGTCTTCTCTTATGGGTCCTTTCTGAATAAAATAGACTCTATCTTTATCTTCCACTGGGAAAGTCCATTCTGCAGGATCATAGGTAAGAGGCTGGTAACTACACTCTGGATGAAAAGAGACCAATTCCTGTGGTTCTTCTGTAGCTTCTTCTTCAGTGCTAAACAAAATGTTACGTTGTTCAAACTGATTTGAAGTGCTTGGCTGTGAATCTTCCTCTCTTTCAGTCAAAACAGGTTCTGCTATCTGAGGCTCATCCTCCGGTACCTCTTCGCTTGCAGTTATCTTCCCTGTTTTCAAATATTTTTGCATAGAGCCTCTTAGTTCTTCTTTGCATTCCTCAAAAGCAGTATTCCTTTTTCTTTTCTGGTGACCGGATTCAAATTTTCGCCCCCTATCACGTTCCCTGCCAATTTTATGCATATTTGTTGTAACAGAATAACAAACTAAGAAATTATGAAAATCTTTCTTACTAACTATACACAGTATAGTAATACACACAATAGGAGTAAACTATTCTATTTTTTATGTTATAACTTTTAGAACATCTAAATCAACAATGTTGACGAATCAATGCAGGAACAGATGTTCTGACTGATTGAAGTTGTTTCTACTACTGGACCCTCAATTGGCCAGAACCGTCAGATTGTTTCCATGCTAAGTCACCGTACTGCTGTAGTTATGAGTATTGTCTGACCCTGGTACAAGCAAATGAACAAAAAAACAGATTACTAAGTGTGCCAGGAAACTGAGTTTTTTTCTGTAAGTATTTGGCTCAGCAGGTAGAGACCCTGACCAGCTTGCTACAGATCACACATCAAATAACCTCACATGCCCTGCCTTGTATCAGGTCCACCACTATCTATGAGATATTATAAATAATGAAAAAGACAAATGATTGTACTACTTTGTCCTAGAAACTTCTAACAGGTTATTTATGATCAAACTAATTAACGCGAATTGATGTCGCCCTATTTTAAAGTTAAGGATCCTATCAATTCAGCTGCAACGAACAATACTTTAGTCATTATAAAATCTCTTTCAATGCCGAATCGAAGGAACACTGTTCACCATAAAAAAACGTAATCAAAATGGAGTTATTATGGTTCAAGGACGGTGCCAGAATGGTTTAACATCAAAAGGTTACCACCAGTGCCGGATAACTATTTACCCAAGCAACACCCGGCTGCTGAATCGAGTTTCAAGAGTGCCACTGATTGGCTAGAGGTAAGCTGACACTGGTAGCTCCCAGGAGCAACAGACTGGTTTAGAGCATCTGCTGACCACAGTAGCAAACCAGCAGCACCCGCGTTTCCTGAAACTCAATTTCAGCAGCCGGATGCTGTTGGGGGATTTGGAGATCCAATGCTGGAGGCAACCACTGTTAAACCGTTCGAGAACAGCTTAACACCTTTATGTAAGAAAACACCTAGGGGCTTCCTGGCACCATAAAAACTTTATTTTCATTAAGTTGCTATGGTGACCGTAGTGTTCCTTTGACAAAATATGTATTTGAAGTAATGTATTTGAAGTACTGTATTCGTGTAAAGTAAAACCCCTAAGTGTCCACTTATATAACAAATCAAATTTCTAATCTGAGAATATACGCCTAACAAAAGATACTCAAAATCTCGAAATACTGAAACCATACAACTTAAGCAACTTTTAAAAACACTCCTTACAAAGCTACATAACACACACACACAAATACATATATATATATATATACACACACATTTTTTAAATTATTTTTAATCACTATCAAACAAATAAACCTGAATTGCAGGCCAAATTGATGGAGCCATGTGTTAAAGTAAAGGGCTTTTATCAATTTAGATGAAATTCGTGTGAATAACCCTGTAAGTATCAAGAGAAAAATTAACAATACCTCTGTCATTATCAGGGGCATCGCTTGATATTTTATTAAACCAGTAAGCAAACAAAAGAAAATAAAGGGAGAAGCTTTCAGAAGTATGAATTAACGTTTATAAACATAATCTAAACTAAGTCAGAATGCATTTTAGTGCCCCTCCCCCTTTTCCACACCCATCTCAGACCAGTCCACTAATGAAAGAAACAGGGCATCATTGTGCAACCGCAGGAAAGAAGCCTGCTCTGCATGAATTACACTGTTCAGACTCCCTCTCTTCTCCCACCCGTCAGGATGTTGCCAGGTGAAAATATCTTACAACTGCACATGTGTAAACCAGTCAGACATGCCCAATGCAATTGTGCAGAATTCCTAGGGATAGGACACTAATTTGTTAAAACAGTGCCCTCCCCTGGAGTGGGAGTGGAAAGCATAAGGAAGAAAAAACAGGTGAATATGGAAATAAATAAAATCATATTTGTGTGGGAGAGTGGAAGTAGCGCACTGGTTGTATATGGAGTAAAAGATGAAAAATTGAGAAATATATAGTGTAGTATCTCTTTAATGTGAGAAAAAAAGAAAAGCCCTTACAAATAGGTGGAGCTACCAAGAGCTCCACTTGTAGGCACGTGAGCGATATAATCCTCACTTAAGGATGCTTGTATTGTCCCTTGATTCCACTTGCCAATCCAGGGTTTATGCAAACAGCATAAATCCTAGCTTGACAAGTGGAATCAAGGGACACTAAATCTAATACAAGATACTAAAAATATAGAAACCACACAACAAATATATATCTATCATACAAACACACACACACACTATCCAATGCTTGCACTCCAGTATCAGGAATAAAATTAACCCGGTGCTTGTCAGCAAAATTACAATAGTCTATAAACAAATAGCACTCCAAGGACTTTGTAGTAAGGTGAAAATAACTTAGCTTTTTATTCAGCAAATGCCATAGTGAATCAACGTTTCAGTTCCTTGTCGGAACTTTCGTCAGGAACTGAAACGTTGATTCACTATGGCATTTGCTGAATAAAAAGCTAAGTTATTTTCACCTTACTACAAAGTCCTTGGAGTGCTATTTGTTTATAGACTATATATATATATATATATACACACATTTTATATTTTGGTTTAACCCCCTGACAGAGGCACCAATTCTAGGCTCAGAACAACATTGTTACGGTACCTCCAGTAATAATTCGTTTAGCGAATGCTCCCCGTTCGCAATAATGTGGTCTGGTAGCGGGTATAGTAGAACCATGCGAACCTCCAGCTAGGGAACACTCCAAACTCCCGAACGGTACCTGTACGGCTCTTTCCCTTCACAAGCTCCAAATCCACGAATTGACAAAAGTAACCGAACGCCAATATCTTCCATGTGGCAAATAATCCAAATAAGCAGTCTCTAGTCGCCGGTAGTAAAATCCCCCCAATAACGAGACCAAGCTCCGCTTTGAGGGTAAAACATGAACTGATTTACTGTGGGCTACCTGCCCGGTATTTATGCAGGTCTCCCACTTGGTGGACACTCCCCTAGGGGACCAAATGGGAGACTGGAATTACAGAAAGACATGGGGACATTTTGGACACACATCCCCACAATATTCCCATCATGCATCACAGTTCCCTCCCCTCTGCTTGGGGGATAATTGGGAAGTAATTCAATTATCTCCCCGAGCAGAGGCAAATCGCCATTTTAAATACAAGTCACAAAACACATAAAAATCTATAACTTTATAACTGCCGAACATACTGCATTCGTGTAACATATCCCCAGATAGCCTGGATCTGAGTGCATGTTATTGGCGAATAGCGCTCAGACCCCATTCGCATAGTTCAATCGCCATGGAGTCAAAGTCTATTACAGTTCTTCGGTATGCGATTGACTCCATGGGACGGCTATCTGGGTTAAGTCCATTCGTGTTGTTGAATCTCCCGAACGGCCGGCATTCGTATGCTTTTGCCGATTGAGAAGGGGAGGTCGACGGCTTCAGCGGTGTTCGGTTGAAAAAGTGTCCGTTTTCAGATCCATGAAATAATCGTCGAACACCGCTGGTCTTTCGCATGGTTAAAATGGCCGCCACCTCGTGGTCGACATACGAACGACGACCACCCGGCATTCGGTTTTAATTGAGAAGTGTCTGTGGTTAACCGCAACGTTCTAATGGGGATCACTATGTTAACCAGCAGCACACTTCTCTTCTGGGTGGCCGTCCGTTCGGTAGTTTCGTTCGACAAAACTGACATTCCCTTAAACAAAGCATACGAATGGGGAAATTCATGTAACTGGCAAAGCAGACGAACACAGTACTTGTAATCCAGACAGATGGGTCTGGCACACGGCTCCCCCCTTGTGGAACACTCCGGCAGACCCGGCTTGACCCTTTGGCGGGTCAACTTGGGGATGACCGGACTGGGAAGAAATAGGGACGTCTGTTTGCCGGGACAACCCATCCGCATTCCCATTCTGCTTACCGGGTCGGTAGCTGATGGTGAAGTTGTAAGGCTGCAGTGCCAAACTCCACCTCAGCAATCTGCCATTGTCTCCTGAGACCCGGTTAAGCCAGACAAGGGGGTTGTGGTCCGTTATAAGGGAAAACTCCTGCCCGTACAAATAAGGGCTCAATTTCTTCAGTGCCCAGACCAGGGCTAAACACTCTTTCTCCACTGCCGCATAACTCACTTCCCGAGGTAGTAACTTTCTGCTTAAATATGCGACAGAGTGCTCTCCTCCATCTTCCCTGACCTGGCTTAGCACAGCCCCCAGTCCATACATGGAAGCATCTGTATGAACAAGAAAACGTTTGTTAGGGACTGGGGCAGCCAGGACAGGGGCATTCACAAGAGCCTGCTTAAGTGCATGAAACGCGGCTTCACAAGCTGGAGACCACAGGACCTGCTTAGGCAAATTCTTCTTAGTCAGGTCAGTCAAGGGCTTAGCAACCGTACTGTAGTCGGGGACAAAACGTCGGTAATACCCTGCCGTCCCCAGGAAGGCCAGCACTTGGGTCTTGGTGATAGGTGTGGGCCAGTTAGCTACAGCCTCTACCTTGGCTGGCTCCGGTCTCTGGCTTCCACATCCTACCCTGTGACCCAAGTACTGCACTTCTGCCATGCCTAGATGGCACTTGTCTGGCTTCAAGGTCAGGCCTGCGGCCCGAATCTTGTCCAGCACCACCCCCACGTGTACTAAGTGGTCTTCCCAGGTCTCACTGTAGACCGCAATGTCATCCAGGTATGCACATGCAAAGTCCTGGAAGCCATCAAGGAGCCTATCCACCATCCGCTGGAAAGTAGCCGGAGCATTCTTCATCCCAAATGGCATAACCTTAAACTGGTACAGGCCAAATGGGGTGACGAATGCCGACTTAGGAATAGCATCCTCGGCCAGGGGGATCTGCCAATAGCCTTTACACAGGTCAATAATGGTCAGGTAGCGCCCCCTGGCAATACGGTCTAATAACTCGTCTACCCGGGGCATAGGGTAGGCGTCAGTGGTGGTCCGCTCGTTGAGCCGCCTGTAGTCCACGCAGAACCGGGTGGTCCCATCTTTCTTAGGCACCAGGACTACAGGCGAGGCCCAAGGGCTGTCTGAATGTTCGATAACCCCCAGCCTGGTCATCTCCTGTATCTCCTTCCGCATTCCTTCTCGGACTGCTTCAGGGATACGGTATGGGGGTTGTCGTAGGGGGTTCTGTCCGGGTGTCTCGACCTTGTGTACAGCTAGGGTAGTGTACCCGGGTTCTTGGGAGAACGTCGCCTGCTTCTCCCACAGTAACTGTCTCGCCTGTACCTTCTCTGCCGGGTTTAGCCGGTCCCCCAGCTGTACAAGACTAGTAAGGTCTGTCTGGGGATCCCTCTCTAACAAGTCAGGTAAAGGTAAGTTCTCGGGGTCGTCAGTAGCTGGGGCACAAACTGCCACAACATCCTCTGGTCGTTCCTGATACTCCTTCAGCATGTTCACATGGAAGGATCGCTGAATCCTTTCATCGGAACAGCTGGCTATAAGGTAGGTAGTATCACATACCTGAGCTAACACTTTATACGGGCCCTGCCAAGATGCTTGCATCTTGTTCGTCTTCACAGGTTTGAGTACCAGAACCTTCTGCCCAACCTGGAAGACCCGCTGTCGGGCACCCCGATCGTACCATCGTTTCTGTCTCCCCTGGGCCGCCTGGAGATTCTCCCTTACCATCAGGGATAGTTTCTCCAGGCGGTCCCGGAGTTCCAGGACATATGGTACTATGGGGGTCCCTTCTTGCTCTGTCTCCCCCTCCCAGTGTCCTCTAATGAGATCTAGGGGTCCACGGACCCTTCTCCCATAGAGTAACTCAAAGGGGGAGAACCCAGTAGATTCCTGGGGCACCTCTCTGTATGCAAATAGCAGATGAGGCAGGAATCGCTCCCAGTTTCTGCAAGTGTCAGTAAAGGTCCTCAACATCTGTTTGAGGGTGCCATTAAATCGCTCGCAGAGACCGTTAGTCTGTGGGTGATACGGTGAGCTAAGCAGAGGTTTAATACCGCACACCTTCCACAGCTGCTGGGTAAGCACAGCGGTGAACTGGGTTCCCTGATCGGAGAGAATCTCCTGAGGGAACCCGACCCTAGTGAAAATTTTAACCAGGGCATCAGCAACCGTCTCTGCCTCTATATTAGACAGCGCTACTGCCTCTGGATAACGTGTGGCATAGTCCACCACGGTGAGAATATACTTCTTACCTGATGGGCTAGCCCTGGCCAGTGGACCCACAATGTCAACGGCTATGCGGGAAAAGGGTTCTCCAATGATAGGCATTGACTGAAGCCTAGCTTTTGGGTGATCCCCCCGCTTACCTACCCGTTGACAGGTGTCACACGTGCTACAATAAACCCGCACATCTCGGTTAAAATTGGGCCAGAAAAAGTTTTGTGTGATCCTATGAGCTGTGCGGCGGGAACCTAGATGGCCTGCTAATGGCACATCATGCCCAATCCGCAGAATCTCCTGCCGGTATTTGGCAGGTACCACTAGCTGTCGATTCTGCGGAGGGGTACTCGGCTTCTGGGACGGTTTCGGGATCCTGTACAGTCTATCCCCCACCCACTCGTAGCTCTCCCCATCTACTCCTTCTCCCCCAGAATCGGCCCTGGCCCTGTACTTGGCTACCGTCGGGTCTTCCCTGGTTTCCTTCCCGTACATCTCTGGGGTATCCCAGCCTAAAGGGGCCTGGTCTAAGGTACAAGTTGGGGTAGAGAGTCTTACCTGGGTCTCAGCAGCAGGTGGGCCGGTCTCGGCGGCACGGGTCGTGACAGCATCCACTTCAGCGGGACCCATGGGAGCAAAGGCTGAAACAAGGGGCGCCAAGTCATTGCCAAGGAGGACATCCGCGGGTAAGTCCTTCATGACCCCCACATTCACATGTCTAGCGCCCACTCCCCAATCCAAATGCACCCGGGCAACGGGTAGACGAAACACGGCACCCCTGGCCACTCGTACTGCTACCATGTCCCCGGTATGTTGGGCTTCGGATACCAGGTGCTTCTGGAGGAAAGTCATGGTTGCCCCGGTATCCCGTAGACCACTGACCTCCTTCCCGTTTACTTTCACACACTGCCGGTGGTGCTGTCTGTTATCCCGGTGGGCAGCCTGAACGGGGTCTGCCTCATGCAGGATGCCCCAGCACTCCTCTTCCTCTACACAGTGCGCGGCTGGGAGGGGAGGTCGTGGATTGCCGCCTGCTGGTCTCCTCCAGGACTGGTCCTGGTTGGCGCTGTTCATCGGGCACTCGGGTCGCTTGTGCCCTAGCTGCTTGCACAGGTAGCACTGAATGGGTTGCGTGTACTCTCGTGCATTAAACCGAGGTGGCTGTTGGTACGGGGCAGATGGAGGAGGTGCTGATGGGCGATTCATTGGAGGCTGGTATAGGTTGGCTGCTGTGGGTGCTGCTGGCCTGTACTCTACTCTGGCGGGCGCCTTGCTAATGAGACTGTCCAGTTTGCGGGCGTCGGTATACTCATCCGCCAGGCGAGCTGCTTCGTGCAGAGTGGAGGGTTTACGGTCCCTTACCCACTCTCTGACCCCTGCTGGTAATTTGTCAAAACAATGTTCCAAAAGAAACATCTGTAGCACCTCTTCTCCGGACACAGCCTGGCACCCCGCCATCCAGTGGGCGGCTGTGCGATGCACCTTACATGCCCACTCTACGTATGAGTCCCCAGAGGTCTTGACAGTGTCTCGGTACGCCTCAGGTGTAACGGCATACCAGGAGAGTAAAGCTTCCCTGACGGCCCCATAATCCCCAATCTCCTCATCAGGGATGGCCCGAAAAGCCTCGCTGGCCCAGCCGGATAACTTGCCGGACAATATAGTAACCCAGTCTTCCAGGGGTACCTTGTGCAGGGCACATTGCCGCTCAAAATCAGCAAGGTACCCATCAATCTCTCCTTCTGTCTCACTGAAGGCTTTAAACGCAGTAAACGGCACCTTCTTTCTTTCCCCCAGGTTTGCTGTGACTGGGGCTGCTGCAGCACCGCTTTGGCGTAGCAGGTTGGCCTCCACAGTGGCTATGACCTGGGTGATGATCTCTGTAGTTGGGTTGGGACCATAATGGGCCAGTCAGCCTGATTCTTACCGCCCGGTCAAAGCTTGCCTCCTCGGGGGTTCTGTCAGCTGTGCTGGGTCCATTGGTTCCCTCTGCCGCTGGTACTCCATCCATTTCCAGCAATAGTGCAATAATATCCCTCTTCCTGAGGTTACTGGCTTGTCCACCTCTTTGCTCTAATAAATCCTTTAGGGTAGCTCTTCTCAGGTTCTGGTATTGTAATTCCATTTAATCCTGGTTGTAGTGGTCTCTTTGGGCGCTGAGGATCATCCCGTCGCTTGCCACCAGTTGTTACGGTACCTCCAGTAATAAAATGTACAAACCGCCGTTTAGCGAATGCTCCCCGTTCGCAATAATGTGGTCTGGTAGCGGGTATAGTAAAACCATGCGAACCGCCAGCTAGGGAACACTCCAAACTCCCGAACGGTACCTGTACGGCTCTTTCCCTTCACGAGCTCCAAATCCACGAATTGACAAAAGTAACCGAACGCCAATATCTTCCAAGCGGCAAATAATCCAAATAAGCAGTCTCTAGTCGCCGGTAATAAAATCCCCCCAATAACGAGACCAAGCTCCGCTTTGAGGGTAAAACACGAACTGATTTACTGTGGGCTACCTGCCCGGTATTTATGCAGGTCTCCCACTTGGTGGACACTCCCCTAGGGGACCAAATGGGAGACTGGAATTACAGAAAGACATGGGGACATTTTGGACACACATCCCCACAATATTCCCATCATGCATCACAGTTCCCTCCCCTCTGCTCGGGGGATAATTGGGAAGTAATTCAATTATCTCCCCGAGCAGAGGCAAATCGCCATTTTAAATACAAGTCACAAAACACATAAAAATCTATAACTTTATAACTGCCGAACATATTGCATTCGTGTAACACATCCCCAGATAGCCTGGATCTGAGTGCATATTATTGGCGAATAGCGCTCAGATCCCATTCGCATAGTTCAATCGCCATGGAGTCAAAGTCTATTACAGTTCTTCGGTATGCGATTGACTCCATGGGACGGCTATCTGGGTTAAGTCCATTCGTGTTGTTGAATCTCCCGAACGGCCGGCATTCGTATGCTTTTGTCGATTGAGAAGGGGAGGTCGACGGCTTCAGCGGTGTTCGGTTGAAAAAGTGTCCGTTTTCAGATCCATGAAATAATCGTCGAACACCGCTGGTCTTTCGCATGGTTAAAATGGCCGCCACCTCGTGGTCGACATATACGAACGACGACCACCCGGCATTCGGTTTTAATTGAGAAGTGTCTGTGGTTAACCGCAACGTTCTAATGGGGATCACTATGTTAACCAGCAGCACACTTCTCTTCTGGGTGGCAGTCCGTTCGGTAGTTTCGTTCGACAAAACCGACATTCCCTTAAACAAAGCATACGAATGGGGAAATTCATGTAACTGGCAAAGCAGACGAACACAGTACTTGTAATCCAGACTGATGGGTCTGTCACAAACATCATGCTTCTGTTTGGGTAGTCATATAGAGTTGGATACCCACATAAAGCCATTACATCCATACATGTTCCCCAAAATAGTAGCCATAGAATATCTCAGATCAGGAGATTAGAGTAGTTTTATATTACAGAACTACTCATCTTCTGATCTGCACCTATACAGCTTGCAGCTCATTTTCTTCAAAAAAACAAAAACCTTTCTTACCTGAGAGAGATGAAATGAGAGGGACCTCACGATTTGGTGTCCAGTGACCATGCAGCCCTGAGCAGCTTGAAAAGGAGAATGAGATGGCTCGCTTGTCCACAGTCTCAAGACAGCTGCCTTCGCCCTTACAGGTTTCTTCCTGCAAAATAAAATTTTTTTGGGAAAAAAGACACAACTTTAGCAGTTTATTTTTTTTTTTTTTTAAAAAAGAGTTTTCTAAAAACAAATAATAAAATAAATAAATACATTGATATTTCTTAGCCCCAATGATAGACTACGAGCATCATCTTAGAGCTCAGCCTAGAAATAGTTCTCCATTCACAAAAGCAGAGCGAGAAAAATATGTGTGGCGTGTTTCCCCACTCTGTTTTGCGATTGGCTGAACCAGCCAGCGGCTTCCTGATTCAACCATTAAACTACATTGGAAGTAGTGAGATAAAAAGGTTTCTTACCTGAGAGAGATGAAATGAGAAGGACCTCACAATTTGGTGTCCAGTGACCATGCAGCCCTGAGCAGCTTGAAAAGGAGAATGAGATGGCTCGCTTGTCCACAGTCTCAAGACAGCTGCCTTCGCCCTTACAAGTTTCTTCCTGCAAAATAAAAAATTATTTTTGAAAAAAGACACAACTTAAGCAGTTTATTTATTTTTTTTAAAAAGAGTTCTCTAAAAACAAATAATAAAATAAATAAATACATTGATATTTCTTAGCCCCAATGATAGGCTACGAGCATCATCTTAGAGCTCAGCCTAGACGTAGTTCTCCATTCACAAAAACAGAGCGAGAGAAATATGTGTGGCGTGTTTCCCACTCTGTTTTGCGATTGGCTGAGCCAGCCAGCGGCTTCCTGATTCAACCATTAAACTACATTGGAAGTAGTGAGATAAAAAGGTTTCTTACCTGAGAGAGATGAAATGAGAGGGACCTCACAATTTGGTGTCCAGTGACCATGCAGCACTGAGCAGCTTAAAAAGGAGAATGAGATGGCTCGCTTGTCCACAGTCTCAAGACAGCTGCCTTCGCCCTTACAAGTTTCTTCCTGCAAAATAAAAAATTATTTTTGAAAAAAGACACAACTTAAGCAGTTTATTTTTTTTTTTTAAAAAGAGTTCTCTAAAAACAAATAATAAAATAAATAAATACATTGATATTTCTTAGCCCCAATGATAGACTACGAGCATCATCTTAGAGCTCAGCCTAGAAGTAGTTCTCCATTCACAAAAACAGAGCGAGAAAAATATGTGTGGCATGTTTCCCACTCTGTTTTGCGATTGGCTGAGCCAGCCAGCGGCTTCCTGATTCAACCATTAAACTACATTGGAAGTAGTGAGATAAAAAGGTTTCTTACCTGAGAGAGATGAAATGAGAGGGACCTCACAATTTGGTGTCCAGTGACCATGCAGCCCTGAGCAGCTTGAAAAGGAGACTGAGAGACGGCTCGCTTGTCCACAGTCTCAAGACAGCTGCCTTCGCCCTTACAGGTTTCTTCCTGCAAAATAAAAAATTATTCTTGAAAAAAGACACAACTTAAGCAGTTTATTTAAAAAAAAAAAAAAGAGTTCTCTAAAAATAATAAAAATAAATAAATACATTGATATTTCTTAGCCCCAATGATAGGCTACGAGCATCATCTTAGAGCTCAGCCTAGACGTAGTTCTCCATTCACAAAAACAGAGCGAGAGAAATATGTGTGGCGTGTTTCCCACTCTGTTTTGCGATTGGCTGAGCCAGCCAGCGGCTTCCTGATTCAACCATTAAACTACATTGGAAGTAGTGAGATAAAAAGGTTTCTTACCTGAGAGAGATGAAATGAGAGGGACCTCACAATTTGGTGTCCAGTGACCATGCAGCACTGAGCAGCTTAAAAAGGAGAATGAGATGGCTCGCTTGTCCACAGTCTCAAGACAGCTGCCTTCGCCCTTACAAGTTTCTTCCTGCAAAATAAAAAATTATTTTTGAAAAAAGACACAACTTAAGCAGTTTATTTTTTTTTTTTTAAAAGAGTTCTCTAAAAACAAATAATAAAATAAATAAATACATTGATATTTCTTAGCCCCAATGATAGACTACGAGCATCATCTTAGAGCTCAGCCTAGAAGTAGTTCTCCATTCACAAAAACAGAGCGAGAAAAATATGTGTGGCATGTTTCCCACTCTGTTTTGCGATTGGCTGAGCCAGCCAGCGGCTTCCTGATTCAACCATTAAACTACATTGGAAGTAGTGAGATAAAAAGGTTTCTTACCTGAGAGAGATGAAATGAGAGGGACCTCACAATTTGGTGTCCAGTGACCATGCAGCCCTGAGCAGCTTGAAAAGGAGAATGAGAGACGGCTCGCTTGTCCACAGTCTCAAGACAGCTGCCTTCGTCCTTACAGGTTTCTTCCTGCAAAATAAAAAATTATTTTTGAAAAAAGACACAACTTAAGCAGTTTATTTATTTTTTTTAAAAAAAGAGTTCTCTAAAAACAAATAATAAAATAAATAAATACATTGATATTTCTTAGCCCCAATGATAGACTACGAGCATCATCTTAGAGCTCAGCCTAGAAGTAGTTCTCCATTCACAAAAACAGAGCGAGAAAAATATGTGTGGCGTGTTTCCCCACTCTGTTTTGCGATTGGCTGAGCCAGCCAGCTGCTTCCTGATTCAACCATTAAACTACATTGGAAGTAGTGAGATAAAAAGGTTTCTTACCTGAGAGAGATGAAATGAGCGGGACCTCACAATTTGGTGTCCAGTGACCATGCAGCCCTGAGCAGCTTGAAAAGGAGACTGAGAGACGGCTCGCTTGTCCACAGTCTCAAGACAGCTGCCTTCTCCCTTACAGGTTTCTTCCTGCAAAATAATAAAAAAATATTTTAGAATTTTGTTTTTAAATACGATAATACTATAGTAATACTATACTGTAATATGTAACATATTACATATTATCATACATGTAATGATCATACAGATTATCATTACATATTATCATATTATTGTTAACATATTAACAATTAATATATTATTAATGATAATTAATATAATATATTATAATTATAGTAAATAAAATAATTATTACATTATTAATAATATTGTTAAGTAATAATGTCATGTTATACCACCATTATTCTGTGGAAAGATGGGGGTAAAGCTCTCCTGCTTTTTTTCTCTCTTCTGCTCTGCTCTTCTTCCCTTTATTTTCTTTTCCTCTGCTCTCCATCCCTTTACTTTATTTCCATGTGCTCTCCTTCCCCTTTAATTTATTTTCATGTGCTCTCCTTGCCTTCCCCTTAAATTTATTTTCCATGTGCTCTCCTTGCCTTCCCCTTAAATTTATTTTCCATGTGCTCTCCTTGCCTTCCCCTTAAATGTATTTTCCATGTGCTCTCCTTGCCTTCCCCTTAAATGTATTTTCCATGTGCTCTCCTTGCCTTCCCCTTAAATTTATTTTCCATGTGCTCTCCTTCCCTTCCCCTTAAATTTATTTTCCATGTGCTCTCCTTCCCCTTCCATTTATTTTCCATGTGCTCTCCTTCCCCTTTAATTTATTTTTCTTTGCTCTCCTTCCCCATTTATTTTCCATGTGCTCTCCTTCCCCATTTATTTTCCATCTGCTCTCCTTCCCCTTAAAATAATTTTCCATGTGCGCTCCTTCCCCATTTATTTTCCATGTGCTCTCCTTCCCCTTAAATTTATTTTCCTTTGCTCTCCTTCCCCATTTATTTTCCATGTGCTCTCTTTCCCCTTAAATTTATTTTCCTTTGCTCTCCTTCCCCATTTATTTTCCATGTGCTCTCCTTCCCCTTAAATTTATTTTCATGTGCTCTCCTTCCCTTCCCCTTTAAATTATTTTCCATGTGCTCTCCTTGCCTTCCCCTTAAATTTATTTTCCATGTGCTCTCCTTCCCTTTAAATTTATTTTCCATGTGCTCTCCTTCCCCTTAAATTTATTTTCCATGTGCTCTCCTTCCCCATTTATTTTCCATGTGCTCTCCTTGCCTTCCCCTTAAATGTATTTTCCATGTGCTCTCCTTGCCTTCCCCTTAAATGTATTTTCCATGTGCTCTCCTTGCCTTCCCCTTAAATTTATTTTCCATGTGCTCTCCTTCCCTTCCCCTTAAATTTATTTTCCATGTGCTCTCCTTCCCCTACCATTTATTTTCCATGTGCTCTCCTTCCCCTTTAATTTATTTTTCTTTGCTCTCCTTCCCCATTTATTTTCCATGTGCTCTCCTTCCCCTTTAATTTATTTTCCATGTGCTCACCTTCTCCATTTATTTTCCTTTGCTCTCCTTCCCCATTTGTTTTCCATGTGCTCTCCTTCCCCTTAAATTTATTTTCCATGTGCTCTCCTTCCCCATTTATTTTCCATGTGCTCTCCTTCCCCATTTATTTTCCTTTGCTCTCCTTCCACATTTCCTTCCCCATTTGTTTTCCATGTGCTCTCCTTCCCCTTTATTTTCCATGTGCTCTCCTTCCCCTTCCATTTATTTTCCATGTGCTCTCCTTCCCCTTCCATTTATTTTCCTTTGCTCTCCTTCCCCATTTGTTTTCCATGTGCTCTCCTTCCCTATTTATTTTTTCTTTTGCTCTCCTTCCCTATTTATTTTCCTTGCTCTCCTTCTCCATTTATGTTCCTTTGCTCTCCTTCCCTATTTATTTTTTCTTTTGCTCTCCTTCCCCATTTATTTATTGCTCTCCTTCCCATTTATTTTTTCCTTTGCTCTCCTTCCCTATTTATTTTTTCTTTTGCTCTCCTTCCCTATTTATTTTTTCCTTTGCTCTCCTTCCCTATTTATTTTTTCTTTTGCTCTCCTTCCCTATTTATTTTTTCCTTTGCTCTCCTTCCCTATTTATTCCTTGCTTTTTCTCCTTTGCTCTCCTGAGTCCTTCAGTTTTCTCCCTTCTCCTCTGCTCTCTTTTCTTCAGCAGCTCCTCTTCTCTTCTTTATGGTACCGCGGGCGGGGGAATGCAGGGAGGGGTTACGTCGTGACGTCGTGACGTCGTGATGTCATCGGCATCGCTGATTGGCCGATTATCGGGTAGCGTGCAGGAGGAAGGGAGGGGATTCACTCGGGGAAATATTGATGTGGCCGCCGGCCGGCCGGGCGGCCGGCATTAAAATATTTTATAATATTTGAAAGCACTGCAGCGGCTCTCTAATTAGGCGGTTTAGGCGGCCGCGAAGCCCCTTCTAGCGCGAGGCCTTAGGCGGCCGCCTAAACCGCCTAATTAGAGAGCCGCCTCTGCCCTGGGTTGTCTACCTTTAAAAAATATATGGTTTAATGGGGGTAAATAGTTACATAGTTACATGGCTGAAAAGAGCCTTGCGTCCATCAAGTTCAGCCTTCCTCACGTATATTTTTGCTGTTGATCCAAAAGTAGGGAAAAAACCCAGTCTAAAGCACTTGCAGTTTTGCAACAAACTAGGAAAAAATACCTTCTAGACCCCAAAATAGCAGTCAGATGTCTCCTTGGATCAAGCAGCTGTTACCCACTAATTAGAAATTATATCCCTATATGTTATGTTTTTGCAAGTATTTATCCAATTGCAGTTTAAACATCTGTATGGACTCTGATAAAACCACCTTTTCAGGCACAGAATTCCATATCTTTATTGCTCTTACTGGCAAAAAATCTTTTCTTTGCCTTAGATGAAATCTCATTTCTTCCAGACTAAATGTCTGACCTCGTGTCCTACGTATAGCCCTGTTTATGAATTGATTTTCAGATAATGGTTTGTACTGACCCCGAATATATTTGTATAATGTTATCATATCCCCTCTGAGGTGCTGTTTTTCCAAACTAAAGAGATTTACATTTTTAAAATAACATTGGCTGGCTTAAAAAATGTCCAGGAGGTGGGAGGGTCTGGGAGGGAGGGTCTGCTGCTGATTGGCTGGAATGTGTCTGCTGACTGTGCGGTACAGGGTCAAAGTTTACTCAATGATGAGTCCATGGCGAACCATTCGTGGCGAACCGTTCGCGAACCGTTCGGCGAACCGTTCGGGACATCACTATTAGTAGATTGTGGACCCCCTTTTTTGGGGGCAGCTTTTTTCCTGTCCATTCCCACACCATCATATTTTTATTTTTTATTTTTACTTTTTCTATGTCATTTGTTTCCCACTCCACTTCTCCTGGTACCCTTAGGATTTTTATCCTTGAGGTCTATACTTTATGACCTATTACCATGCTTAAAGAAACACTATAGGGTCAGGAACACAAACATGTATTCCTGACCCTATAGTTCTAATCCCACCATTTAGGTGGCTTTCCCTCCCCCATTAGGCCCCTTAAAAGGAATTAAAACTCACCTTATTTCCAGCGCCGCTAGCTCCGCCCCCTGGTGACATCATCAGAATTGCTGATTTTTAGGGGAAAGCATTGGATTGGAAAAAAAATCGGCAATTGCTGTTTTGGCCAATCAGCACCTTCTCATAGATATGCATTGAATCAATGCATCTCCATGAGGAAAATTCAGCGTCCCCATGTAGAGTGTGGAGGTGCTGAACAGCAGTGCTGCCTGCTGTGCAGCACTGAGCCAAGAAGCACTTCCAGTGGCCATCTCTGAAAAGGCAGTGTTTGCATAAAAATGCTTGCAAATAATGGTTATACTCACCAAAACAACTACATTAACCTGTAGTTGTTCTGGGAACTATAGTCTTTAATCTTCATGAACGTTTTCCCGCCACTTCTCTTTCACCCTGGTGGATCAAATACCCTCTTAAAAGACGTGATCAATTCAGAATACTTATATACCAAGGGTTCATCATTTTCCCAACAAAGGGTTAATCCATGCAAGTGCCTGATCGGTCAGAAGGTTCATGATGGATGCAATCTTAGCCCTGTCTGAAGAAAACATTCTGGGTGACAACTCAAAATGAACCCCTACCTGATTAAGAAAACCCCTGCAATGTGATGGGTCACGCCCATATCTAGGTAGAGGT